AGCCCCCAACTGGCCCAAATCCCCAGAACCCCCGGCCAGATTCCCCCAGTTTCCTGGCTCAGCAGGGGTCGCCAGGGGTCGGATGTTGGCATAGGACCTCAAGGCGGCCTCCTCCGGTCGTCAGCCCGGTATCGCTGGACGCGTTAGATTAAAACCTGCCCCAAACGCGAGAGAGTTGCGGAATTTAGAATAAAATCCGCATTTTAAGTCGACATTTTCGTATTTTGGCCCAGTTTGGGTGCGTAGATGCCCGAAACTGCTCCGAATAGACCCCTCGATGGTGAATCTACCGGTCTCGATCCCAAGGAACATGTTAGTTGCGACTCTCGAGGCCGGCACTTCCACTTTAGCCGACCCGATTCGCCGAAAATATGCCTATTTTACGGCCGCTCGACGAGCCTCGAAACAAAGAATACGGCTTTTCGGGCACTTCTGGTGCCAAAAACCTATGGCTAGATGGCATCACGGACAGCCCCATCGACGGAACCAACCTCCTAGAGCCGCCGGTCGAAGCCTCTCGACTCAAAACTGCCGCCGTAGGGCCGGTTCCGTGCCTCGAGATCCGCCTCGTACTCGATTCGGGCCCCCGCCGACCCGTAGGTGGTCGAGATTCCTGTGTTATTTGGTGCGGCTAGTCGCCCACGCCCCGGGGGGGCTTCGATCCGCCGAGAGGACGAGAAGAGACGACTCAAAACGACCGACGTGGCATCGATTCGGAGCCCCGAGACACGGCCCGTTCGCGAGTACGGGCCCCGCCGGTCCGTAGACGGTCGGGATTCCTGCGTCTTTTTGTGCGGCGAGTCGCCCCCGCCCCCCGGGGGCTCCGACCCGTCGAAAGAACGAGGAGAGACGACTCAAAACGACCGACGTGGCATCGGTTCGGAGCCCGGAGATACGGCCCGTTCGCGAGTACGGGCCCCGCCGGTCCGTAGACGGTCGGGGTTCCTGCGTCTTTTTGTGCGGCGAGTCGCTCCTGCCCCCCGGGGGCTCCGACCCGTCGAAAGAACGAGAAGAGACGACTCAAAACGACCGACGTGGCATCGGTTCGGAGCCCGGACCGCGCCGCGGCGAGTGCGCCGCGCCGCGGTCACGCCGCTCAAAGGCCTCAACCACGCGTCCCGCCCGCCGCCCGCCGCGACCCCCCCCCCCCCCCC